CCTTCAGGCTAATTGAACGGATTTTTACATTTTTCATCTGTCATATTGGATCCGCAATATTGTATTTTTGAAAACCGACTTCAGATTCTTAATCAAAGACCCCAAAAACCCCCGAGTAACTGATTTCAAGTAAATACGATGAATTTTTTTTTCAGTCCGCCATATTGGATCCGCCATTTTGAATTTTTAAAAATGAAGTTCAAATTCGTAATCAGCGACCCCAAAAACCTCCGAGTAACAAGTTTCAGGGGAATCTAAACAATTTTTAAAATTTTTCATCCGCCATATTGGATCCGCCATTTTGAATTTTTAAAAATGAAGTTCAAATTCGTAATCAGCGACCCCAAAAACCCCCGAGTAACAAGTTTCAGGGGAATCTAAACGATTTTTAAATTTTCCTCCGCCATATTGGATCCGCCATTTTGAATTTTTAAAAACGAAGTTCAAATTCGTAATCAGCAACCCCGAAAACCCCCGAGTATGAAAATTCAGACCAATTGAATGCATTTTTAAATTTTTCATCCGCCATATTGGATCCGCCATTTTGCATTTTTGAAAACCGACTTCAGATTCTTAATCAGCGACCCAAAAAACCCCCGAGTAACAAAATTCAGGCGAATCCAGTTACATTTTGTCAATTTGACCAATATTGCACAAAATTTTCACATTTTACAATGAATTTGACGCCATAGTTGGTCCGCCATTTTGAAATTTTTTATTCTACTTTACGTTTCTCGAAAGTACACAACTTTTATGCACCTATGGTTGACAAGTTAATTTTATTCTTACATTTTTTCCGATTGAAAAAAAATGTCAAACTTAAAAAAATGAAACTTTTTTTGTGTTTTTTGACATTTAAACCGCCATATTTAATTTAGGCTTAGACGAAATTAATTTTTGACACCGGAATCGGAAAGAGCACACTCAAGACCTATAGGAAATGTACCGCTCGTACAAAATGTTGACCGATTTACTTAAAATAACGTAGCCTGAATGTGTACAAAGAATTTTCAGTTTTTGGGCGTTAATGGGTTAAATTTTAGTGAAAATTTTATTTCAATACAATCCTGAGAAAAAAATAAACAACTTTTATCAGATGAAAGATAAATAAGCAAAATCGAAACATTGACGATTACAAATAGAGATTTTATAATTCAAAAAGAAGTAGTTGTGCACGTTAAAAATGGAATTCAAAGGAAAATTATCGAAATTACTTTTAACTTTCATTTGTGAGATTTAAGCTTAACGTTTTGGTATTTGAAATGCTACAAATTTTCTCCACGAATTTTTGGTAATAGGTATATGAATTTTAAAAATTTTTTTAAAAACTTATTTTTAAAATAATGCAATTAGAGTAGAATTTTATTAAGATAATTATTAGTTAAAATGATCAATTATTGGAATAGAATTTTGGATAAAAAATTTTAAACAATAATTATTATTTTAGAAGAGATGTAATTAATATATCTGGCTAAATATTTTTTGACGAGAATTTTGAAATTTTTATATTAATTTAAATTAATAAAGATTTTTTGTTAACAAATTTTCGATAACAATTGATTTTTAGAGATTATAATATATCATCTAAATCTTGTTTTTCAAAATTTAAAATGATGTAATTTTCATTTAATTTTAATTAAATTATATAGAACTGAAATAAATTTAAATTTATATAAATTATTAATTAACCACAAATTTAGTCAATTTAAACTTTCATTGATTCAAACCTTACTGAATTCAAAACTCAATTTGTTTTAATTGTAATAAGTGAATATAAAATTTTTATTTTTCATACATGGAATAATTATGTAATTATTAATTATAATAAACAATTATTTTGTTTAACAGTTTTGGTTTCGCACCTTTGAAACGCATATTTCTGAAAATTTATTTACCTTTTTTACCTTTTACAAAGAAAAATGGTATTGCGATTTCTAAAAAACTTAATTATACATAATAATTTAAACGAAAAATCTCATTTAACCAAACATTTCTTTATTAAAATAGATATAGGAATTAACTACTTTATTCTTATTTAGATATGTTATTAATACCGAAAGATTTTATTTAAGAATCCTTTATTGTTACTTATTCATAAATATATCTATTAAATTTGTTTTCGTCTTTCAGTAGAACCGACATTTCACCTTGAGTTTTTTTTTACTTTGTGTATAATTGATATTTGATTTTTAAGTTATAACTTTACAGATAGTTTTAATTTTGTCAATTTGCGATTTCAAACTCTGCCTTTCCAACAAAATTATTTAAGTTAAAAAAATGTTTAAATTAAGAAATTTGAAAATTTTAAATTGTGTAAAAAACGTTTTGTTTAATTTAAAAGTACAGACAATTTTGTTTTATGCATTGTTTATGTATCCGATAGGATATATCGTGCTTAAAAAATATTTTAATATTCTTTTCACACTAAAAAAAAGTCTCAAAAATTTGGAACTGGCAACACATTGCTGAAATTCAGCAATTTTGGAAATCAACAACTCCTTAAATTCAGCCTTCAAATGAGTTGAAATCCCGACTTTTTTAGAGTGTTATTTCATTGAATGAATGACTTACATAAAATTGTAAAGATTTTATTCTTATTAATATGTTATACTGTATATAACATTCAAAATTATTACTAATTATTATAAATAGCATAACTTTTAAATTACAAACTATGGAAAGCATACAGAAATAATATTTTTGTTTTTTGAATGATTACATTAAAAAATAACATTATTCTTAATTAATTTTTTATTTTTGTCCCTTAATTGTTTAAAATAAAATATTTTGGGTTGTTCAAACAATAAGTATGTAATCCTTTTTCGGAGACCTCAAATCCCCCCACCCCTACTCCCTTCTTTTCCAACATAAAAATGGAAAATTAAAAAAAAATTCTTTCTTGATTTGAAAAATACTTTTACATCCAAACAATTAGGAGAGCACCAACTTTTGTATCGTAACTTCGCGTGTGTGAAACATTTTTCCTGTAAATTAAATATATATTTAAACCAAAACCTTTTCCAAATTTTCTTTTTTTACAGGTATTTAATAAACAATTTTTTTAAAACTGTATGAATTAGAAAAAAAAATTAATTTGTTTTTAAAAAATGATTAATATAACTTGCTTTTAATAAATACATAAAGAAATATTTTTATAATAAAAGTTTTAAAAAATTATTTAATCTAAATAATAAATTTCTGCAATAGATATGTTTGAGTTAATTTGATTTATACGATGCTGAGATAAAATTTATAATTTTACTTGAATGTTATGGAATTTGACCTGGAAATAAAAATAAATAATAAATAAGTAAATTGACAATTAATATCTTTTTTTTTCATATGAAGTTTACAAACTTTTTGAGAAGGACCTGTAAGTTAAATATGTCTGAGAAATTTAAAGTTTTCTCTGAACTTAGTTTGAGGCAGCAAAGAAGACGAACCTCTTTACTTCGTGGGAACATTGACGTCCGAACTATTTCAAGCCCATCTACATCTGGTTCCAATACCTCTTTTTTTGTAACAAGTACATTTTCCGGTGACATTGAAAATTTTAATTTTAACAACGAAAATAATCGTGAAGAACTTCAATCACAAGATAATGGCAATGATCATGATAATGATAATGAAATAGTAGAAGACGAAGACTTTCAGGAGGATGATGATGATGATAATGATGAGGATGATTTCGACTATGATGATAACGACGATGAAGACGATGTGTACGACGATGATGACAATAGTGATGGAACAAGTTCTGAAGATAGAGAAGAAAATGTACATATTGATCGGAATCCTCTGATTGCACATAAAAGGATTCTGAAAAACGCATTTCTCGCTGCTAACTTAAAACATACCCAAGGGAATATTATTCTAAGAACATTACGAGAACCTCCTTTTAATTTAACTTATTTACCGAAAGACGTTAGAACATTATTGAATACCCCTACTATAGTAGCAAGTAACATAGTTCAAAACGTTGCAGGAGGAGAGTATCTTCACATTGTATTTAAAAAAACACCTAAGTACTGATGGTGCAAGTATTCACAATGGATCACATTAGTTGTGGCCTCATCAGTACCGTATTAACAATGTTGGTGATAAAAGACCCATTACAGCAGGTATTTTTAAAGGCCGGCATAAACCATCCAATCCATTTGATTTTTATGAGCCACTGGTAGAGGAATTCAGGGAAATTGATGATGAAGGTGGTATCATAATAGGAAATCGTTTAATCCCTCTGACATTTCGAAGCTTAATAGCTGATGCACTGGCCAGAGCATTCGCACTAAATCATTGCGCTCACAATTCTGCCAATGCTTGCTCTAAATGTAAAGTGATAGGGCATCGCAATGTGCCAGGCTTTCCACGTACGACGGTTTTCGAAGGAATTAGGCACGCCCCGAGAACAGACGAAGAATATGAAGCTCTTGAGGACGAAGATCATCACAAGGGTAGAAGTCCATTGTCTCCGTTTGTACCTTTAGTGAGACGAGTGCCTTTTGAACCGATGCACCTTCTGTATCTTGGAAACACGAGAAAAGTATTAAATGCACATGTTTATGGAAAATTTGGATTTAGAAGATTAGATGGTAGAAAATTGGATATTTTTGATTCGAGAATGGAATAATTGCAGGCATACTGCCCATCAGAATTCAATCGTCAACCGAACAAAATTTCTATGCTTCATACATTTAAAGCGACTGAACTGAGACAATTTCTTCTCTACATTTCTCCGGCTGTTCTACAAGATATCTTTACAAACGATCGTTATGAGCATTTTATGATTCTTCATTGCACCAGCCGACTTCTTGCTTCAGACGAGACACAACGTGAAATGTATCCTTTTTGCCAAGGAGCTTGCGAAAGTTACGTAACTTTGTGTGCCAGGTTGTACGGACGACAGTTTCTTTCGTACAATGTGCACTGTCTTTTGCACATGACAGAAGATGTCGAAACATTGGGTAATTTGGATTCATTCAGTGCATTTTCATTTGAAAATAATATGCCAGAAATGCGAAAATTAATTCGGAAACCACATCTCAGTCTTCAGCAAATATATAAAAGACTTTGTGAGAAGGATTTTAATACCGCAATTGTCGATGATGATACTGGCATTCAGTTCACACAACCGCATGCTGAAGGACCACTTTTAGGAGATTTTCCAGCTAATGTTTGGCACCAGTTTCACAACCTGCAAGTTGGTAAATTCAGATATGCAACGAGTCTGCGTGACAGCTACTGCGCGTTAGAAGATTCAAGAATTTGTCTCATAAAAAATATAATAAATTATGGAGACCAAACTTTTTTTATTGTTCAACATTTTCGAACTGCCCTGCCGGTATACAATATTGGAATCACGTCGGACGTTGCAGGCGTATTTAATTGTTCAAATTTATCTCGTAGGCTTGAAGCAGTTAATATCAAAGATGTGAAAAGCAAAGTTTACAGAATGCCTAAATGGAGCAGTGCAAATGGAAGGGAAGAAGTAGTGATTGAAAACAATTGGATATGCGTTTTGTTTCTATCAACGATAGTGTGGCCAGGAAATTAATACCATTTACTTCTTGATTACAATATTTCTCAGTGGATATCATATAGAAGTAACTGGTGAGTTTAGTCTATTTCTTAAATATTTTTATTCTGGTTAATTAAATATTTAAAAAATACAAGCTATTTTATTTTTGTTATCCAAATGAGATTCTGATTTTATTATTCCTAATCATGAAATTGCACTTGAATAGAAGCACATTTTTAAATTGTCTATTATTTTTTATTATCGTCTACTTATATTTTTATGTATAATAGATTAACAAAATTTATATTAAGAAAATCAAAAAATTTAATATATACAAAATATTTATTACAGACATTAATAATAATTTGTTGACTAAAAAGCAGAGTTTGAAATCAGAACTTCTTTATTAAAAAAGTGACAGTCCAAAAGACAAACATCCTAGAGCTAATATGTTTGCACTAACATTGTAAATAGTTTTAAGTGTCCTCTTAAAAGTAAACTTGCTATATAAAATTGCCACAAGCTTTGTAATGTTACAAATTTCAAAGTTGTAAAACTTTTATATAGCACTATATTTTTTAATGCAATTTATTTTATTGATTTAAGCCAAACTCAATTAAAAAAGATTATTTTAATAAAAACTTTTTTTCCCATACAAAAATAAATTTTGAATCTTGCTACTCATATTTTGCGTTATCTGGGATATTAAAAAACGTTGAATTTCAAGAAATTGTGGCGTTTTGACAGAAAATTCATATTTCGCTACAACTAAAAATATTAAATAACTGTTACTTTTTCTATCTTTCAATGTTGGATATTAATAAAAATTAATTATTTTTAATTTATAATTTAATGCAATTACGACACATAGGTGTTTCATAATTTTTTTAATTATTTTCATTGTGAAGTGAAATACAAGCTTTTAACTAATTTTGTAAAATATTTTCTATGTGTTAGCAGCACCATGTCACATTTTTTAACTTTAAAAGGATCGGAACAAAGTAAAGCAAAACGAGCACTTTGGACTACTACCAGTGGTAGGAAAATTAAAACCCCTCAAAATCTTTTGACGACCGATGACGATGCACCTTCGGAAAAAATATCTAAGAATCACAAAAGTGTTAAAGAGCAGATAGAACATTTGACAGCATTAGCAAAACAAGTTATGCCTAATAATTTACGGAAAGTCGAATCAGCGGCAGAGAAGGATGCAAAAAAGCAGACAAAACTATTGGCATCAGTAAAAAAACAAAATGGACTCGAAAAACCGATCGACTCCGTATCAAAAGCAAGCAAAGTTGAAACTCACTCTTCCATGGTCCCAGCACCAAAAGCAGACATTCCAAAATCTGGAGGCAGTTCTAATCCACTAGAAATAGTTAAAACAGTTCCCTCGCAATCTTTTGCGTGAAAAGTAAGTAGAAAGTATTTTCTACAATAATTACATTGTCACATGGATCTTTTGAAACATAAATTACATTATTTATTTTATTATTCAAAACTATATATCGTTCAGTGCAGTTAAATTGTTTAGAAATTAATTACACATACTCTTTTGCAAATCATTTTTTCAATTTTTTTAACAGGAGATCACCAGTCGTTTCCCCAGTTTCTGATCCCAAGAGCAATGCATTTCTGAAGATAAACAATATCGATTTTAACCGCAATCAAGTTCATTCACTTTCGGGTAAAAATAATAATCACATGGAATCACCACCTCAGAACGATGAATTTTTAATTACTTCAGATAGTTCAAAGATAAATAGTGTCGTTTCTTCGCCAACTGAAGCTCATTCGTTTTTAAATGGAAATAATTCTTCTAATGAAATGAATTATCAATTGGACATTCAGGTGCATGATAAAGAAACAGCAGATCTCTTGATATCAGAGATGAAGAAAACGGTAGTAGCATTAGGGTAAGTGGACGTAAAAAAAATTTTAAGCCATTTCTGAAAGAATGTTTTTTTAAATGTAAATTTATTCTTATAAAGTTCAAAAAGAAAACGATGAATTAAAGTAACTAATATATACCTCATGAATATTTAATTGTGATAAATTATGTATTTTTACGTAACTTTCTTAATTCAAGTATTTTTTTGTCTTTCTGTACAAACGCAGCTTGGTATACAGTGATACGAAAAGGACATACGAACAAAATGAACGAATAATAAATCAAAATGATAAGATAATACTTCAAAATGAACAGATCCTGGAAAAAATGTCACAAGAGACAATAGGAGAGGCAAATCTTGATGACACCTTGTATGAGCCACTTAATGGTTTTCCTATTAATACACTCGATCAGTTTATTTATCTAAACGAAAAAGAGCAAAAAAGTTTACGCAAAAAATTGGTAAGAAAGACTATAATTGTTTTATAAACCTCAATTATTTGCTTATGAATTTTTGTGTCAAGATTTCATATCTTTTAAGTTCAACCTGAAATTTAATTTTTATTTTCAAAATTAAGTTTAATATATGTAGACGTTCGCAGAAAAAGGGACCACTTTGTTGGTTTTATTTTAGGAGATAATTGCTATTATCCAAAAATGACTAAAATGTTTGATGGAAAACAATTTACAGAGTATCCCGCGTTGAATCATGACTTTGTGATAATTTGTTGTAATTATAAGTACGTAATAATCATTTTTTTAATTTTAAACTCCTTTTTCTAAAAACTAGTCCATTGATACTTATAACTTTAAATCCCTGTAACTTTGTGAATTTTTCATCTAGAAGAGTCTAAGACCAATCAAAATTTTCTAAATTTAGCAAAGAATTCACCCATATAGATAAGTCCAATATTGCCAATTTGGTCCCTTTTCATGCTGAAGTCCATATATTGTTAGATAAATTATAATTAAATATAGTTAGTTACAATTGATACTAAAATGCAATTTTAATGCATAAATAAAAATTATGTATTTTACAAAATAGCGAATTAATTGTCAAAAAAATTAGTATTGTTACTTTAACCCATAAAAATATTATTAATATAAGAAAGATTTCTTTTCACTTATAATTTTCAACTTAATATGGCACAATACTACTAATCAAGTGTGATTTCTGTTTTATTAATTTTAAACTTTTGCATTTTAGTTTCAGCATTTAGTGGCATTAGGAGGTCCAAGATTAAGAGATTTCTTAAATTGTGCAGTAAAACAAACTTTTACCGATGAACTTATTAACCAATTGTCATGGGATGGAAAAGGAGCGTACCAAAAACTTGGTGACACCAGAGTTTGCAACACTTTATACCGTAAGATCTTAATATAATGCATGCATTATTAACATATTAATATTCAATTAAAAAATAAATAATATTTTAGTTGCAGCAAATCAGCGGATAGGAGTAAGAGCTCGATCCAATAAACTGGACTTTAAAACTGACATTCAAGAAATTTTACGAGTTACAAAACAACGATTTCGAAAAGGTCTAAAAAAACCAACGGAGCCTAGTGCTGGTGGAAACAACGAGAGTGATATGCAACGATTGGAATCTGAAAATATGGATTTGGACGACGACGAGGAAATCGATTCCGAATTTAGTGACGAAGGAGATGTTGAATCGGATGCGTAATATTTCAGAATTAATTTTAAATTTTATTACTTGTTTTCAATTACCGATAAGGTCTAAAAATTATTACTTTTTTTTATACATATTTCTTTATGAAAGAATTTAATTAATATTAAGGTCAGTTGATCTGAAGTCGTCTAGAGTTGGTGGCTAGAGAACTTTTAAAAAACCTGAAATTAATATATAATACTTTAGCATACATTTTGATTATTATTTAATGGTTTTCAAATTGAAAATATGATTTATAAATATTTTTTAAGACAGACAATTGATTACAAAATTAAAAATGGTCCTTTCCATAGCAACTCAGTACAACTTGTACAATAAAAACACGAAACATCTTTTTACTTTAGCTTGACTTGTTAATAATTTATTTGACTTTAAAAATGGTGTAAAATTAACCTAATTCTGATTTACTTTTTGTTTTGTTGTCTGGATTGAAGTTATTTTGATCATAATAATTAACCTTAGCTCAAACTTCAAAACAAAAATTCAGTTAGAATTTAATTTAAAAGAGATTAAGTTTATGAATACGTTTTATGATTTTTGGCCAAAAGATTTTCAAAAATTAGAATTTAATGTTTGAATTTTCATTTTTGTGTTTAATAGAATAGTAACAGATTAAGGTTACACAAAAATTTTGCTTTAAATAATTTAACAATTTTAATACAGTAACAAATTCACTTTTAATAAAAAAAATTAACACTTTACAAGAAAAGTTTCGCACTTTAAATATATAAATAAATAACTTTCTGACAATTTAATTTATTATCTCTTGATAAAACCATTTTAAAAAGAATGAAAACATATTTAAGTATTCAAAAACTTAGTTGATAATGAAAATGTTTACTAAACCTATATTAATTTCAGATTGACTAAAAATTATATACAATGTTAAAATTGTTTAACAAATTCTAGACCATTTGTGTTCGAATTATTCTTGTGATACTAAAAGATAAATATTGTTAGGCACGGCTTACCAAAGACTGAAACTATAAAGTATTATTAATGTGTAGCGTTGCAAAATATTTTTTATTATTAGAACTACGAAAACGGTTTATTTGTACGCGTAATTTCAAGTCATCTTAGTATCACAAATTAAGCGTTTCGATGTAATAATTGGTCAAGCGCTCGGCTGGACGACCTCAAGCCAGTCAAACGCACAAAAAATTAAGAAAAATTAAAATTCAAAATTTTGGTTTTTTTCATTTTTTTTTATGACCGGCTTGAGGCCATCCAGCCGAGCGCTCGACCAATTATTATACCGAAACGCTTAATTTTAATATAACTTTTTATTAAATTTAATGTTTCATTGTATTGTTCAATATGTTTTTTTTATACATTTAATATGTTCTTTTTAATTGTTCATATGTTTCATTGTGTTCATAAATGAATAAACAGTTCATTTCCTTTATTTGTGCCTATTTATTTAATAAAATAATTTTTCTAATCCCAAAAAGTGTACTCGCATATAGATCGCACTTGACCCGCATCAATGCGATCTCACGCGTGAGACACATATGAGCCTCCATGGATGACGCATCGGCATGTGAGTATGAGATCACACGTGCGAATTGATTCGCACTAATGCGACTGCCAGTGATATCACTGTGCGCGCATTTTGTTATCTGGGATAGCTCGAAATATAGACGAAAACGACCAGACACAAGGAAACTTATCAAATCAAACGATGCTAGATCCTCACAGTGATCCAAGTCGAAATTTCATGGCAGGTAATATATAAATAAGTAAAAGTAAAATAAAATTAGAATTAAAATTAAAATTAAAATAAAATTTTCTTTTATATAAAAATTAATTTAAGATAAGTTATTTTTATCGTAAGGAAATAGTACTCTCGAGAAAAACTTAGTTCTTTTTTAGATGGAAATATAATTAATGTAAAGTATAATAAAATTGTAGCAATTAAAATTGTAATTTTTTCTTTCTTTAGATGACAACCAAAATGAAATCATGCTTCTAGACACTGTTGGTAGCGGAGCATCAAATAGTTATCTGAGGCAAGATTATGAAGCTTTTAATAAACCAACAACAACCCTTGGACATGGACCCTCAATAATTCGACTGCTAATCTTTCTCTGGGGGAATAGGAAGTCAAGATAGTTGTTGGGCAAACCATCTTGAAAATCTTAATTCGGAAACTGATAATGCCCAAACGGAATATGATAGCGAAAGTGTTATTACTAATATCGAAAAATCTCTTGTTAGGCCTAATGTGGATGCTACCTCGAATTTTACAAACAGTGGAGAATTGATAAATCAAACTTCCATTTTTCTGTCAATGCTTTTTAGGTGTCAAAATGAGAGGTCAATGTACAGAAGCGGCGGATATAGATATTGCAAAGCTCTTAAATTGTTCTCAACATATTTATTTATAGTTGGAGGGCGAATCACGTACGAAACATTAGCAGCAAATCTTCCACTACCATCTTTGAGTACAATTATGCGAACAATAAGTTCATCATCCATAAAACTAATAGAAGGAAGTTGTCGTACTAATGAATTGAAACAATTTTTTAAGACAGAAATCTTCCACTTGCTGTTTGGTTGAGTGAAGATGCAACGAGGATTACAGGCCGCGTGCAGTGTGACTCTCATACTAATCAATTAGTAAGATTTGTTCTTCCTTTTGACAGTTATGGAATGCCAAAATCATTTTCTTTCATGGCTAATTCAGCAAATGAAATATACGATCACTTCGCGAATAACTCAGGAGCTTCATATTTGTATACTATTATGGCACAACCATTGCAAAATGATGCCCCATGTTTTTGTTTGAACGAAACAGATAATAAGTTTACCGCTGAA